ACAATGCGGGGCATCTGGTAATCGAAGTTCTTATCGCGGAATCTCTTCTAGTATTGGAGTCTGAAAGCTACTTCGAAATTCATGAAATGCACGAGAAAAATTTCGATTAAAAAATTCACGTACTTTTCGTTATTTAATAAATATGATTAAATAAAGGTCCATAGGATAAAATAAAAAAAAATTCAATAAAAGGCTTAAAGGACCAGCGCAATGGTGAAAAGATGCGAAAAAAACGGTTATATTAACTGTCACTTAAATCAAATAAACGTTTTATTAGATTTATTACATTAATATAACCGTTTTTTTCGCATCTTTTCACCATTGCGCTAGTCCTTTAAGCCTTTTATTGAATTTTTTGGTTTTCGTTATTTGACAAAAATTCATGTACTTTTCGTTATTTTACTAAATTTTTTATTTATTTATTTATTTAATTTTATAATTGCTGTTTTATAATTAATTTTATAATTTAACTTTGTAATTGCGTTTTTATAATTAATTTTATAATTGGACGCGAAAGATCTTTGTCGAAATTTAATCTCGTGCCAAGTCTAGGAGATATAACTTTTATAGAGATAAACTTACGTAAAGGATTACGCTGAAGACTTACGTAAGGACGACATTTATCGCGACAGATGCGTGGTCACCCGATTCTCGCGTTACATACACATTTTCACAATTCCTCGAGCTAGATGGAAGTGGATAGATACAATTGAAGCGTGTAATCTGATGTAAGTCTCCGATTCCATATTAATTCCGCGGCAGATAGAAACGTGCTCTCAAGAGCGACGATACACCTGAATCTCGGTATCTTTCGGCGAAAGCAACTTATCTCCCCGAGATTCCCCGGTATCGCCAGTCTGAGCGAAACAAGAGCCGGATGTACGCGCGACATCCATGGAACGGATTTATTCTCAACGACACGACCGAGGGTCCTCGCATCGCCAGGCGCGAGCCAGGGAGCCTAAGCATCGTTTTCACCGAGTCGCGAGTCGGATAACACCGATGGAAATCGTCGCTTTCGCCTTTTGCCGATAGCCGTGAGCCGGGCTGCTGTCTCTCCTGTTTCTCTTTCGCGTCGCCCCCGCCTGGCCCCCTTTCTCACCTGCGTTCCTCGATCGTACTCTCCTCCGTTATCGTACCCTGTCGAAAGTCGGTCTGCGGGATCGGCAGGTGGTCATTGTCGGCCTCGCGGAGCGCATGCTCGGATGAATCTGAATTTCTAATTGTCGCCAATGGCGCCATTAATTAAGCGGGAGGCCAAAACGAAAGCGAGCGAGCCGGGCTTGATTAAGGCAATGAAAAGTCGCGCTCGCTCACGACCCGCCATTTTTTCGCGCGCGAACCGAGCATGCGGCTTGCCGGAGAGCCGGCAGTTCTCTCCGAGATAAGCCCGGGATATCGTTATCGGTGATATCGCGAGTCGCGCCGGATTAAATTGCGCTCGTTAGCGAGTAACGCCACCCGCGCTTCGGGTCTCGGTTACTACATGTGTGTCCGCGCGCGCGTGACATTTTAATCGGAAATTAATTTGATGCTTCCTTAATGCGCTTTATATCTTACTAATTAATATTTACATTCTATTGCGGAGATATTACTTGGAAATTGATATTCGCGACGCGTGAGATGTCGATGATCTCATTTGAATATTGAAAACTTTTACAAACCGAATTATGAAAGAACGAAAGTTTCGAATAGAATTTTAAAAGAAAAAAAAATATATATATATATAATTTTTATTTTTTAATATAAAAAACTTTAGTGCGCAATTCATTTTGGAAAAAAAATTGCAAAATGAATTGAATTAATTAAATTAAAAGCAAGATTATGATTTTAAATAGTTTCGAATTGTGAAAATTTTCTTTTTTTTTAAATTCCCTATAAAGAATACATAACAAAAATTGTTTATATTCAAAAAAAGAGAGAAAGATAAATGATAATATATTACATTATATAATAAATGGGAATATGTTTACTCCGTAATAAAAAATTCTAATTTCTCGAGAGCAACGGAGATCATTCCGATTATGCGAGGAGGGAATCTCGAGCTTAGGAGGTTTCGATTTCTTAGATGAAATACGCAAATTGGAATTATCCGGACTCGGGGTCGAACCAATATAGTTCTCGAGCGACACAGTCCCCCACGCGTCGCAACGTCGTCGTGGCGATAAATTGACGACATCGGGGCATCGTTTTACCTGTACAGCCGGATCGTTTGTCTTCGGGGAAGACGCCGGAGAAGAACGTCGACGAGAGGAACGGCGGGATTGTCCGGGGGTAAGGATCGGGTGTAAAGGACGCAAGGAGGTAATATGAGAGCCTACGGGGAATTCTCTAGCGCTTAGAGACTTAAATGACTCGCGACGAACGCTCGGAAATCTTAAACCCGATCAGATTTTCGATCTTGTACTTGCTATCACCTCGTAATGTCACGTCAAGGTACGAGAAAAAGTTTCGCGCGACTTCTTCGTCTATTATATATAGGTGATTGATAAAGATTGATGTGGATTCTGAATAATTCAGATATGAAATTATTTCATGAATTGAGAAATGAAAATTTTCTAAAATTCGGCAATATATTGCATATATTTTTGTATCTTTTTGATACAAAGATATATACAAGATATAAAAATTTGCCCTAGTACACTGCTCTCTTCTTTAATTTTTTCTAATCTATTAAAGAACGTTTATAGACATAAAATATTGTTCCTAAAATTCAAATTATTTTTAAATGAAAATGAAAATTAAATTAAAATTTTAAATTAAATTTCAAAACACCTTAAGTTATTCGTAAAATATGTTAAAGAATTAAATCCTCAAAATACGCGCGATTAATATGTTTTATTATATATGTATGTTAGCATTATTCTTATGGTAATCTGATGTTAAAATCTTGCTGAAATTTCTATCGTCGAAAATTTAAGACTCGCACATCTTGCGAGATATTCGACCCTTCGTTCCCGTTGGATCCCTTTCTTTTTGCATTTTTCCGTGGAGGTGCGAGCGATCGTGCCGTCATCGCAAGGGAATGCATACATCGCGGACCTGGGGGAGCCGTATTTTATTTCTGTATCGCGGCCCGAGAGAGACGGACGAACACGAAACCTTGGCCCGAATCGCTAGTTATTCGGTCAGCGGCAAATTCATTTAACGAAGCCCTCGCTAAATTCGCTCTCGCGATTCGCAAGATTATCCGGCCGATTTTTCACCAAATCAACACCTCCCTCCCCTCCCGAGAACTCGCGGTATAAAAAATTGACGAGTATAAAACAATAGTATTTATACGAGCTATTTTCAGATCTAATCAGCATTTAAATTGCAAATATTATATATACAAAAAAAAATATATAAATCGCAGAATTATTTTAATTTATATGGCAAAAATGTAGAATTAATTAATGTAGAATTGTTGAATTAATAAAAGTAGAATTATTTATCAAAATAATTATATTTAAAAAAATGATAACTTACCCTCGATGACCATCGATGATTCACGAAGACGGGAAGGAGATTGTGGAACAGTAGGATTCGACGAGGAGACTTGTGATGAGATAAGTTGTGACGAGGTGATTTGTGACGAGATGGCTTGTGACGAGGTGGTTTGTGACGAGGTGGTTTGTGACGAGGTGACTTGTGACGAGGTGACTTATGACAAAGTTTAACAAAAGACGCTCCTTTATTATTATCTTCTCTCGATAACAAGTGACTAGCACTTCGAATACAGCGATCGACATCTGCCTGGAATCGAATTACGCATTCACACATAGATTAGATGCTAATTTCAAGTGGAATGTATCGTGAAAAAGGTAGATACGCACTCCGCTGAGTCTTTCCTTTTTTTGAGGAAGTCAACTCTGAAGTCTCATTTTACGGTTTTTTTTCCACTGAAAGCTGACGCTTTAAAAGAGGATCGCACGATTCATCGCTCATTAACTATCCATTCTTTTAAATATAAAATAGAATTTTCTAAACACTCACATCGTTAAGCGTGTCAGCTGTTGGAAAGAAACACCGTATAATGAGTCGAAAGGCACTGAAAGCGTTTATGAATTACGTGAGTTTTAAAAGTCGATCGTAAGTCTCTATGCTTGTCGTAGAAAAAAAAAAAAGATTTATAAAACATCGCGCATACGCGATTGCAAGGCTTAGCAAAAAAGGCGAACGACCAACATTTTCTACGATATAGAGTTGACAAGACCCGCGATAATCGATCTGTCAGTGATGAACATGGCAGTCATTCAAATGATCGATCAATATATTTAACCCATTAAAGCCATTATTTTTTATATCAAAAAATAAAATATAGATTGTGATGTGATAAAACAAGAAATTGGAAAAAATTTTCAATTTTGTGTGATTTTGTCAAATATATTGCTGATTATTAAAATTGCAACATTATATATATAATATTGTAATTTTAATATACATGTATGGCCTAGTATATATTTTTTCATCGTGATTTTTATCCTTGATTGCTAATAAATTAAATAACAAGTGACTTTTAATGGGCTCAACACTCTAACATTCGTACTCATTATTTCTCTTCTCATATGCAAATCTTAATTACTGAAGTCTGCGATACTTTTCACAGAGTAATGATAAGCTATCATGCGCGCTATTTACACTTAGGCTACTTTCTTTAGGAACATTAAAAGTCATCGAATCAATCACGCCTGGCGATAAAGATATTAAAATCGCTCTTCGCGAGCCGCTTGCGAATATCTTTGAGAAATGATTAAGGCGGTAGGCAGAAATCGAATCGAATCGTGATTTCTTCCACTTAGTGGAAATATCGAAATTTGAAAGACTCATGGGGTTTCTTTTCTCGGAGCATCAAAAAAAAAAACTCTAAACAGTATAAAATATTTTACTCGTGTACGTTTAAAATAAAAAGGAAGAAACCAAAAATTAATTTTCAAATTGTGATTAATAAATAATTGATTGCAGAAATATGACATTTAACAAAAAATGTTAATCCAAATAATGTGTAAACATTTTTTAAAGTTAGATTTATAAATGTAATAAAAAGAAATAAATACGTGCAGGTTCTGTTTTATACTGTTTAGAGTTAATAACGTAATAACTTAGATGCCAAATGATGTGCAAGTATTATCCCAAATTACAAAATTTGCACTCACGGTTTTGAGACCAAAATTTGCAACCGAAAAATCATTTTTTCAGTAAATCATCTTAAGAATTACGCCGTTCAGGAACAACTTGCCAGTCACTTGTAATCACTGTAAAACGCTATATAGCATTATTTAAAAAAGTACCTTTAACGCACACATCAAGCACGAATAATTTCTGAATCCCGCGTTGATTCGCTTCTCTCTCGGGAGAATCCGTAAACATCACCAAAAGCGGAATCACACTTGTGAGCATCACGCGAACGTCCTCTTTCGACACTCGAAATACAGTTTTCTTAAAGAATGATGTCGCCCTCCAGTAAATCGAATCTTCTCGGAACTTGGATCTTCCGACTGTCACATGTCGCAGAAAAGCTTAGATATTTTTTTTTATTAAATTCACATGCTTCAGGCTTCCAAGGCATCTCGAATATTAGATCCTATGCGTCGATCTCATATCAGAAAATCAGTCTTACATCCTCGGAGTTTTAGACCCCGAATGCTCGAGGACTTCGGCAGCTTGTTTGTTACTAGTGAATGCATTTTGTCATCAAAATGCTTCGTAAAAATCATTTTCTTATTAAAAGAAGCTTTTAAAATCGAAAACGATTTTCTGATTTCAGTGGGATTTCCTTCAGAAATCAGGAAAGCACAAAGGGAGATTCTTCGTTGTTGCCGAGGACCTCGTCAGCGATTGGAGTAGACGTTGCTGCTGAGGACGACGATGTCGGTCCTTCTACCCGGATCGTCTCGTCCACCGAGAAGGAGGGCGCATAGAAGGCGTCATATACTCAACGACGGCCTCTTCTTACGGTCCTTGGTGGTGTTCTTGCCGAAGATCGTCCCGAGGACCCTCGAGACCGAGTGTACCCCGAGTTTCCGGCGAATCGGTAACGCTCGCAAGAGCTGGACCGATCTCGCCTCCCGCAGGAGTGCTTGAAAGGCCAATGCCGCCCCCGCAGGACTCTCCGCGGCGCTTACCTCGTAGAACTGACATCCATGCGCCAAGGACAATTGTTGGCCTTCGTCCACGCATACTTCTCTGCAACAGAAATATTCATTGATCCTCCTTTAACATTATCTATGATAAATGAAATATGATCATATTTATAAAGTTTAAAAGAAACCACGTAAATGTCAAAAATATAAATTTGAAAAATTTAGGATGTTTAATATATTTGCTTCGCATATTTAAAATTCTAATTTTAAATTTTCCATGTTTCTCTAAACTTTTCTTTTATCACAGGCACAATACAAATTTATATAATAGATATATTTTTATTAAAATAATTATTATCAAAATTTTAAAATAGATTTCGCAGAATTAAAATTACTTAAAATTATTTAAATTATTCATATACTATTTTGAAGTTAAAAAATTTGAATATTTTATAATCGTCGAAACAGTAAAGCTTTGACATTTGTGACATATCGTACGTGTCTGTCTTCTTGTAACAAACTAGAAATTCGCCACGCTTGCCAGTTGTGCGAGGATAGCCGTTTCGCATGATTCACGGGAGTGGTTTATGTCGCGGAACACTCGAATCACATGTGTTGAAACATCGATCGGAAACGGCGGAAACGCGGACCGGATGCTGCGGGCGTTCGCAGATTTATATCGCGGCGGACGTTGCGCTTTTGCAAGTCAATGGAATCGTCCAAGGCTCGAATTAAATCTTCGCAAAGAGGCAGAAATGTACTGGATCGACGACGGATGCTACGAGTTTGGCAAGCACCAGACATTGCTTGGAGAGAGGTGATTGAACGGCATAAAGACCGGACGTTTACGAGAGGAAGCGGAGTCATTGGAATTTCGCCAGGATGAGAGCGTCCGACGCCGCAGGATATTTATGATGTTGGGGTTAACAAGTGCCTTATTAAAACTATATATTTCTGTACGTTCATAATTGCATCCTATATCATGTTCCCTATAATAAGTACGATACTTTTTCCTGTTGTTCGAAATTAAGATCGATCGTATTCTCGCAATCTACACAGAAGTATTAAGTATTCAATATTTTTTTTTCACAGAATTGGTGAGTAGTTTAAAAATTATGCTCGTTATAGAATTTTAAACTTTACGATTTTATTAAATGTTTTAGAATGTTTACTTTTCAAATTTCTCTTCGAATATTTAAGAATTAATATTTTGATCGTAGGATTTTAATTGGCACAAAGGGTGCGGACGAGAAGAATCTTGAATTCGTAAATCTTTGAATGCGAAGAAAAAGAGGGAAGAAAGAAGAGGATTGCTGTGTATTTTCAGCCTGAAGAAGGCGCCTCTGCGTGGGGCAGAGGAACTCCGATATTTATGGAGACAATTAAATTCGCAGGAACATATGATCCTCACGAGAAGGGCGTCGCGGGAAGATATAAAGGACACGTGGGAGGACGCCCGATTAGACGCGATCGCGTACAAATCTGATGTGTATAGTCATGACCGTTAATCTGTTCCCTTTTATTTTACGAGTAACAATCTGGAGTTGTTTTACGAGCAGCGAGCGTTAGTTTCTGTCGTTCTTTCTTAATTCGAAAGAGATATTTATGTGTTTTATTTATGTGTTTCAATATATGAATTATAGATCATAAGATATATATTAAAAAACGATAAAGATTTATAGAAGAAAAGAAGTTTTAAATATAGTTATAAATCAAAAGACTTTAAAATAAAAATAAATTTAAGTAAAATTTAAATAAAAAAAATTTAATTCAAGTAAAATTTATTAAAAATTTAATTTAAGTAAAATTTAAATTTAAAAAGGATTTCTTCAAGAAAAAAATTTAAAATATAAAAATTTCGAAGATTTCGGAATCGTAAGGATTAAAAGTTCTGATAAATGAAAAAAAAAAGTATTTTAAAACGGAAGTATCTCTTCCCAAACCAGTCTATCAGCCTCGCTGCGAGAGATTGTTGGTAATGATATTTCGAGATTTGCGTTATCGGTGCGCAATATTCGCGACCGAACGACGGGATGTATCTAAAGCGGCGAAAACTCGTTCTCAGGAGAGCGGTTTCACCAGCCCTGCAGCGGACTTCGCTCTAATCTTTATGAACTCCATTAAGACGACGAGCGTGGCTACTGGATAGAGACCGGATGTTCCCTCGTCGCGCGAATCGATCTCCCAAGTTCGATTTTCGTGTCCCTTCGAAAATCATCATTTGAGAATTCTCGCAAATTTCCTCAACATTTTTTACTATTTATTTAAAGCTAAGCTATCAAGCTATTTTTCGAAGAATCCTACGCTCTAAATTTTACACTTTGTCACTATCGAAACTTCAGAAATCAATAAAAATTTTAAAATTTGTAGAAAAATATTGCAATTTTATTAAAACTAGAAAATTAAAATTTTCTAATTTTAATCAATCGTATATAAGTTTCTCTTTTTCTTTATTACGATTAAAGCTACTTTTATCAAATTTTAAAAGTCTTACATACAGAATAATATCACACCCAGTGCGATTAATTTAAAGCTGATCATTCTCCTTGCGTGTGACATGTAAGCGAAGGCGTGTTGTAATTTATGATTCATCTTATAAAGTTATAAAAAAGATATATATATATATATATATATATATATATATATGTGTATGTATGTATGTATATCGAATAATTCCGGTTTAATTAAATTTCTCAACGATAATCGTGACAGTTACGAAGAGTGTGTATCTCTCGCATGCCATCAAAATGCCAGTTACGTAAATCGAATCGCTCTTTTCCCGCCAGCAATGTTGCTGCTGCCGTCGACGACCAATCGCTTGCGACATCGACGGATTTGTGACATTTTATTTGCGCGATATTTTTATTACTCGCTCATAACTATCGAGATGTCTCGCCATCTTTTCTCTTTGTTATTTCGCTACGAAATTCCCAGCGATTCCACGACATTTTATGTACCTTGATCACGCTCTTATGCGCCCCGTAAAACTTGTCGACCTCTGCCTCGTAATCCTCGTTGTCTAAAGGTTGACTCGAAGTTAAAAGACTAAAATGCCGAGAGTATATCCGTCAAATTCTATTGCATCTCGATTTATCTATCCATTTGATTGCTCACGCGATATTTGGTATTTTAGAAAAAAAGAGAGAGGTGTGATTGTAAAATTTCATTTTCCAGAAATCGATCTATTTTGTAATTTTTGATACTTCAATCTTCATAGTAACAAATATGTCGAGCTTATTTTAACTTTAGAATCGATATCTCTTTGGAATAGATAAATTTCAAGCCAAATTTTAATTATTAGATTTATCACCGATAATAATTACACATTTTCTTTCTCTATCTTAAAATAAATTTAATTAAAATTAATAAATAAATTCTTAATTTAAAGGAGATAAAGGGAGTCTTTGAATTCCTTCAAGGATATCCTCCCGACACCTCCTTCGACATCCTGCTCAGTAGTATCGTGTGTAATTGTAATGTTGTCGTCGTTACTAGATCATCGGTAAGATTTCTCCCGGTATGCAAAGTCTCCATAAAGGAGGAGGCGTAAGGACGAGAAGGTAGCTCGTAAGGCGAGAAAAGGAGCGTATCTTCGTTAACGACAATCCGCATTCCTGCGAGAATCGTGCAGAAAATTCCTCTCCGTTCGATGGGAGAAAAGAATATCGAATAAATTTCTATTCATCTACGCATTTCTTTCGTGACTAGAATAATGGACACGCGATCTTCGCGATTTAATGAGCGATGAAAATGATTTATTAGTAGAAGGTAATAAATCAAAATAAAAAGCATCTTTACATCAACTATAAAAATGTATTAAAAAATGAGAAAACAATTTTAACGAATTAATTTGAAATATTTTTACATCAACGTGACATGAAATTTAAATAAAAAGTTAAATTAAAAATTTTACTTTTTAATAATATATATTTTTCTCTATCATACACAGAAAAAAATAAGTGTCAAATCAAAACTTATATATTTAAACTAACGAATTTATTGTTTCGTACATACACAATAATTTATAATTTTCTTAGAAGAATTTAATAATTTTAAATTTCAACAATATTATAGTCTTATTTTAATATTATAATTGTCACGTCAAGAATATATAATTATTTAATTCTACTTTAAGAAAATTATAATCTTAGATTTAAAAATGTTACTTTCTATCTAACATTGTTTCTTTTCTATTCAAGAAAATTAAATCTTAAATCATAAGAATATATTTTTCTTGATTCCTTAATTAATGCAATATAATCTCATTTCAAGATTTCCATGTTAAAACTAAATATATTTTCAAAACAAGAATATCCTTTTTTTCTGTGTAGAAAAAAGATTTTTTTTTTACATTAGAGAAGAATTACAATCACTTAAAATTAATGGAATGTAAGATTTAAATAAAATCAAACCTCTGAGATATTACACTTTACATTTTATTTGAAAGAAAAATTATCTACTTTGAAATTATCGATATTTAAATGTATCTAGAAGGATTCGAGAATTTATTCATTAAACGCATTGCGCTGTCCTGTTAACGTATATTTATTCTCAGCGGACACACGAGAAGCCAATCCGACAAGGTTAATGAGCCGCCGCCGCCAATCTTTATTCAAGTTACAAATAAAAATGCGCGCGTACTAGTATTTCCTAGCTTTCTCTCGCCCGAATCACGCAACGCAATGATGCACTTTGAGCGACTTGTTGCATAAAATGCGACAAGATGTATCGATATCTGAGAAACAGCACGCAAGCCACACCTGTTTATATCCGCGCGTCTTTCAACTAGTTACATTTTCCTCGTCAATCAATACGTTCCGTTTTATACATCGGGATGAAAAATTATGTTCCGCTGAACGCGTAAGAAATTATAAGTCGTTTCGTAAAAACTACTCGCATCTCTCATTTTATCGCCGATTATTTCGCTTAAATTATCGATAAAGAAATTAATAATTCTCTTCTTGACTTTCTCCCTTATGAATTTTACAGTAGAAATATATCAATTTCGAAATTCCTGTATTTCCGTATATTCAAACTCATTTTCAATTCAACATCTCGCTAAATTTACATAAGTCCGAGAAACACGATAGATCGGGAGGAAGCTTACATAATAACTTGATATACTCGCCGGTCCTATTCGCGGTTCTCTTTTTAATCGGCGAAACATCTCTATTGGTATGTGTGTGACACTCATTTATCTATCTACATATTTACGTGTCAAACCGCCGGATTCTCGACGCCGATATGCGAAACACGACACGTGATAGCGCAGACCGCAGATGCCACCGATTCGAGACACACCCGGTAGTGGTCGAGTCGTTCGACGTTCATCTAGAAACCGTTCGCGATATTTTGCCTCGCCAGATCTGTTTACCTGTCCGAGTCGCCTGACCGACTTGGATGAGTCGCCTGGAGTTGACGTGCCAGTCGACCGATTAACTTACTCCGTCATCGTCTCCAATATTCGGTTCATCGAACTCGTTTTTTACGAAAACAAGTGCCGCGCTAGCAAAAAAACTTGCGCGCGTCGCAAAAAATCCGATCTCAAATAAGAGGAAGTGGTGCAAAAAATTTCAAAGCGACAAAAGTTCTCCGAAGTTCCCCCCGAACGAGTTTCAACGGTTTGTACAGGTGTAATCGAAATATACACTGAGAAAAAAATCTGGTTGCATTAATTAGAGTTCTGGTAGGAATTACCAGAATTCTAATTAATGCAACCAGAATTCTTGTAGGAATTACCAGATGAATCCACTGAGAAAAATCGTTCGATTGTACCAACAAGATATATATGATTGAAGGCATTTTGGTTAAATCAAACATGAATTTCTAGTTATCATGATAAGACTTCATTTTTTATAACTAGCCACTCTTAACTAACTCGTATTCAATATTTACCATGAAATGTATATAAAGAACTAATATTAACATTAAATCCAAAGTATATTTTTCTTCTCTTACGAGCAGTAGTGCCAGAAAGAAGACGCTAGCTCTCTGATTGTGTGTGTTTGAGCTGCATCCTGTTCTTGCATCACTGTTTATCAGTTTAATTTCTAACAAACTGAATTTAAAATAATTTATTCAATCTGAATTGAATTTATGCAATAATCGTATTGGAATTCAGAATATTAAACAGACTTTTGAGACGACTTGGTGCTAGCGAGTTTAGTATTATTAATCAGAAAATTTGGTAAATTTAACAGGAAGAAATTAATCAGATTTGCTGGTAATTCCTACAAGAATTCTGGTTCGTCCATTTTCAACAGACATATTGCTTGAGTCTACCAGAATTCTAATTAATTCAACCAGATTTTTTTCTCAGTGTCGAATTAATTTCTTCTTGTTAAATTTATCAAATTTTCTGGTTAATACTAAATTCACCAGCACCAAGTTGTCTAAAATTATTACCATCTAATCTCAAAAGTCTGTTTAATATTCTCAATTTCATCAAGATTATTGGATAAATTCAATCCAGATTATTGACTAAATTATTTTAAATTCAGTTTGTCAGAAATTGATAAACTGATAAACAGTGATGCAAGAAGAGGATGCAGCTCAAACAACCACAATCAGAGAGCTAGCATCCTCCTTCTGGCATTACTGCTCGTAAGAGAAAGAAAATATACTTTGGATTTAATGTTAATACTAGTTCTTTATATACATTTCATGGCAAATATCGAATACGAGTTAAATTAAGAGTGGCAAGCAAAGAAATTAATGTAACAAGAAATTTTATAGTTCCAACCGAAAAATACTAACCAAATCCTTATACTAAAATCTATTAAACGTTCCAGTTATAAAAAATCGAGTCTTATCATGATAACTAGATATTCTTATTTGATTTAAAATGTCTTCAATCATATACGTCTCTTTGGTACAATCAAACGATTTTTCTCAATGTACAAAAGAAAGAAAAGGAGATGCAATAATAATATCAAATCATAGCTTGTCGAAATATTCAAATTATTCTCTTTAAGCGGGGCAACCAAATTTGGAGCAACCCAATAAAGCATCGAATATCACGAGAGGCGCTGTCTGGAAAAACGCGAATCGCGTGGCGCACGCGAAGTCTCACCTCGTCTCGGAAACGAACACCGAGGATCCTGTTACTCGCGGATGGAAAGTGAATTGCAGGGATTAATAGGCCGAATACACATATATACATATACGCATAGCGAATCGCGCGTGTGCGATCGGTAGGTAAGCGCGACGATGAAGAAAAAAATCGGAACGATCGAATAATCGACGATCCGCCGAGGGCGATACACGAAGTCGGCGATCGGAGATCGCGCGACGCGAAATGATATTGTAATTCTTGCGCCATTTAAGCGGCCCTCATATGATCCGTATCGGGACGTCGAATGAGATTCGCGACAAGATAAATCTCTGTCTTCGAGAGTGAGATTCGGCAGCGTATTTATCGCGCATATTTAGCGCTGAATAAAAATTTCCCACTTTAATATTGGACTGGATGAAAAAGAAAATCGAACGTTAGAAATTTGCATAAAAAATTCGATCCTCAAATCGATCGGAAGTCTTGAAATAGAAATCATCCATCTCCCGAGATGGGAAATTTTTATTCTTACGACAGATTTCCGGTCGACTCGAGAATCGAATTTTTTATGTAAATTTTTAACACCGGATTTTCTTTTTCCTTATCGATATTTCGATATTTTTTTCATCCAGTCCAATATTACAAATTATATTATATTAATTACATTATATATGATTCTCTTAGTGCATTAAATTAAAAAAAAGAAAAAAAAGATTCTCATTAATCGATGAAATATTTCAAACTGGCAGAAGGATACACGTGTGAAGACCCCTTAAGACGCCAATCGGCCAAGTGTGCCAGACTTGCGAGGCCGCGAGTAAAAATGGGCCATGTATAAGCACGACATTACTTACGAATAAAAGCCTCCTCTTTAGCTTTTTTTAATGTTATTGTCAAGGGAAATTTATTCGGTATTATTCATCGTATCACGGTCGTGTAATCTATTATTCAATTACAGATTGAAACAATAGTACTTGTAATATAATCGAATCCTATACGTTCTATTTACTTTTATTAATAAACTGAAACCTACTATGAAAGAAATGATCAATTAATTGCAATATAATATAAAAATAATCATCGACTGTAATACGATAAATCACGCGCAAGGGACAATTAAAAAAATTTTTTTCACGCTGATGAAGTGATGAAGAATTACTACCTTGCTGCATTGATTTATCAATAATTACCGTCTTTCATGCTCGAAGAGAAGGTATGATGCGCGGTTTATTTGGTCGTATATCAGTACTGAAGATCATCATCGGACGTTATACGAAGGTACACGCCCGCCTCTTACGAAACCGTTAATCATATTTGTAACAATGTGATTTATGCTTACCGAGCATGGTCCAGATCTCTCTTGTTGCCGAGGAGGAGGGCAGTGAAGTAGGATGGCAGGCGTAGATCCGCGAGTTGCTTGAGGAGTCCGCGAGCTTCCTGAAAGCTACGTTTACATGTCACGCTGTAGACAACCACGAAGGCCTCGCCCCATCGTATATGCGAATAGAGACAGCCGTTCTCCTGAAACAATCGGAGAAACACGACGGCCAATTACTATGACAGTCAAGAATCGCGAATCGGATTTAATTTGACATATCTACTTTCGAATCTCTAGATATCTCAGCACGTTTACACGTACGACATTCTATTCTTCTGTAGAGATGATATCGAGAAAATCTCTAAAGTGGATTTCTATATAAATAGAATATCCATTTTGGATTTGAAATTCTTTCTAAAGCAAAATTATAGGAGAGATGTTATTAAAGGCCTTAAAAAAATTGTACACTGAGAAAAATCGTTTGATTGTATTAACAAGAAGCATATGATTAAAGGCATTTTGGTTAAATCAAACAAGAATTTCTAGTTATCATGATGAGACTCGATTTTTTATAACTAGAACGTTTAATAGATTTTATTATTAGGATTTGATATAAGGTAGTATTTTCTGGTTGGATCTATAAAATTTCTTGTTATATTAATTTCTTTTTGCTTACCACTCTTAATTTAATTTGTATTCAATATTTACCATGAAATGTATATAAAGAAAGTATTAACGTTAAATCCAAAGTATATTTTTTTTTCTCTTAGCAGTAGAGCCAGAAAGAGGACGCTAGCTCTCTAATTGTGTGTTTGAGCTGCATCCTCTTCTTGCATCACTATTTAATTTCTAACAAGTTTAATTTCTAACAAAAACTGAATTTAAAATAATTTATTCAATAATCTTGTGATTGAATTTATCCAATAATCTTGTGATTGAATTTATCCAATAATCTTGTGATTGAATTTATCCAATATTCTTGTGGGAATTCAGAATATTAAACAGACTTTTGAGATTAGATGGAAAAAATTTTAGACGACTTGGTGCTGGCGAGTTTAGTATTATTAACCAGAAAATTTGGTAAATTTAACAGGAAGAAATTAATCAGACTCATCTGGTAATTCCTACAAGAATTCTGGTTCGTCCATTTTTCAACAGACATACTGGTTGAATCTACCAGAATTCTAATCAATCCAATCAGATCTTTTTCTCAGTGTAAAATTTTCTTTTCTGTTTAAAATTTTTGAGTCTCGAAATATCTTTAGCTCTTGGAAAGAGAGAGAGGAAGAGAGAGAGAGAGAGAGAGTATTTATTTCAGGCTACATCTATTTACGTACGCGAATAAAACTGTTTTTAATGACTGTGAAAAAAAAATGTGCCGGAGACAAGCGCGCTGAAAATTCGCCGCACGTTGATTCCTCAACTCGCGTCCGTAAATCTCCGCCATCACTTAAACTGCCATACATCCGGCGAGAAACTGAATTTTATAGACCGCGATAAACATATACCTTGAGGGAGGGAGGTAAGGGATCCGCGTGTTTACGGGCGTTATTTACGGTTAAATCTGTCGAATTAACATTGCATGTAACGTGCTCGTAAATAAACGCCGCAGGAATTCCGACAACGGCGAATGCGCACCTTGCAATGCAATGTTGTAACGTCTTAAGAATTGTTGATATCCCGCTGTAAAAATGAGAGCATTAAAGTTGATTGCATCGCATCAAAAATTATGTGGTTAAAAATCCTGCTGATATTTAACGACCGTGAATCATGATTTATGTTGCCTGAAATTTATGAATCTCATTTGAATATTAAAATTACGCAAATCCGAAAGGTTTAGGGTCTGTGAGGAACATTTCGAAGATTTAAAATTATAAAATTATTATTAACATCTACCGTGTTGTAGTTAATCAATTTTACAATTATTTAAAGACAAATATTTTTTTTAAATAAAATTTCTATAGTTTAAAGATTTAGTGTTTTATACTAATGATCTAAACTAATTTTGTATAATCAATCAGCTAAAAAGCAACAGGTCATGTATTTTAAAGGTGTTTTTCACAATTTAATAATAATACATAAATTAATGTAAAAAACAATTTTAAAATATATGGCCTGTTGACTCATTATGTATATCACTAAATATTTAAAATGTAGAAATTTTATTTTATTATTTTATTATTTTATTTTAAATGTAGAAATTTTATTTTATTATTTTATTATTTTATTTTAAACGTAGAAAATTTATTTTATTATTTTATTTTATTATTACGCGCATTAAAATATTTCTCTCTTTATTTAATAAAACTTACTTCCCGAAAAAAATCATTATTTTAGATATAAACGCTTATAAATACATATAAAAAAGCAAGTATAGCTACAAAGTATAAATCTGGAATTCATTGATTGTGTTTAGGAATCGAAAATATTATATCAATGAGTTCTATAATTATCTATGCAAGATTCTCCTATTTCATTTGTCTATTCTGTAATTTTGTAGTTGTTGACAATGCGCATTGTTATCGTTATACAGATGCAATATATAAGTTTATTTGGCGCGTGTCCACTGTTGGCGAATGATGATTACGCGCTTGTCAACATTTGTCGCGACACGATGTATCTTTCTCTGGAGTTGCATCTTAAATTATGCAACGAGATCTCCTTTTGACAAGATATTGGCGTTATTTTATAAAAGAAAAGCACGCGCGTATTCACGACAAAAGCTATAGATGCGATCCTTGTGATAAATAAACATACATGCTGATATAATCGCGCGTTAATCGAAACGTTTAAATAAAAGATTATGAAAAATAACAAGTTGGAATGTCAACAATCAAATGGTTTGGCGAAGGTAAGCATCGCGTCCGACAAAAACGATTTACAAATGATACGAAAATGACGAAACTTACGGTTTCCGAAAAATCTCCAATAATCACTCCTCATCGAGGACGATATTATCAGCTTTTTATATGTATATTTCTCCGTCATTTTCGTATCATTTGTAAATCATTTTCAAGAGTATGCAGTGGTGTTACCTTTGTAGACGATCTGCGTATTGCACAGTAAAAATAAGGATGTGTGTGAAGCAGGAGCTCAGGTGTTCATTTTGTCAACGAGCAGAATCCGTCCGCGGCTACGGTATCGACGCACATTACTATTTCTTTGTAAGACGCGTTCTTGTTTACATACCGAAGTGATACGTCACTGTGACGTAGTGAGACACATTCCACAACGAAAGGCGCTGAGTGGGGGAAGGTGAGTGGGGGAAGGTAAGTGGGGGAAAGAATCGACGCGTAGGAGCAAAGAGAGAGACGCGAAAGATCATTATTATTCAGTCAACGTTCGTAGAATTAACGTATTAACACACGTCATGTTTATCAAGAAAGTTCTTTCTCTATCTCGGTAGCTTTCGATAACGATTCCATTCAATCCTCTGATAAAAGTAGTTAGTTTTTTTTACATTTTTGTTTCTAAAGTTTCAAATTAATTATTAATAAATGATTGTATCATTTTATTGTTATATATATATATATGTATATATATATATATATATATATATATATATAATATTTTAATGATTTTTCACTTCATTATTCGATAAAATATATTTTCTCAATTTAAAAATGATTTGTAAATTATCTAAATCGGTGAAGAATTCAAAACACGAAAAGCAAAGAATATCTAAAATATATTATTAAAGAAGTATGATCTTTTATAAATATATATCGTAATAAAATATAATAATTTAAAATAAAATTCAATTGTCTGTCGCATACCTTTAATTAAATTATCGCGAGAAATACTTGCTTTAACAATTTCGAAATAAGAATCGCAGAGACATACTCTAGGAATAATAAATATTAAATATAATGTGTATGTATACATATATTTCACGCTTTTAGATCTCCGATTTGAATGTAGTTTATCAATTATTTTCAGAATAAAACATATATAAATTACAGAATCGGATAATTTGATTAAGAGAAAAGAATTGTGATACATCATTAATTAAAAATTAATTTTAAAAAATTCCGGAAATATAAAATATTCCATTGTGAATTTATTTCGTAGTAGTATTAAATATTTCGTGGCGACGACGAAATAAATGTTATATTGTGTTCGATCTTCGCGATATATAAACATTGTTTATTTATGTCGTAACTTTGATTATTCGGCAAGACTTGAGCGAGAACGCAATTATAAATTTGATTTATAAAGAAAACGACATGAAAAAAAAGAGAATAGAAATTATAGATAAATTATTTTTTTATAAGAATTTTTATAAATATTTTTTTAATATAATGGTTTAATATAATAGTTTCTCTAACATTTGTATTTGAACATCTCGCGTTTTAAACTTTTCATCGATCAAGTTTATATCAGTTTGATATCAATGCGGTCAGTACGATCATTATTAGTGATAAATGTAAAGTCGTCGCAACGAAATGCGCATAAATTTGATTGCACGGTTTTCTGAACATGAAGCTTTATCCATTTCTCATCGTCATTTTTCCATTACAATATAATAAGATTTGCGTCAACATCGAGAGATCGTCATATTTCGCTAATTAATGCGCGCGCGGTCGTAATTAAGCGTGTGTTCGCGAGTGAGTGCCGTGTGAGTGCCACGAAGAAGCAATAAAGGATGACCAAGAGAGAAGAAAGGAGCTTAAGTGGCATCGAACAACAGAAATCATGAGGTAAGCAATTTATAACTTATTTTATTAATTGCAAAATTGCTTGTTTATCCACACAATAACGATCAATTTGATTATTGTGTAATACAACGCATACAAAATATTCTAAATTTTACTTTAAAGTGTTAAAAAAATATACTTAAATAAGTTTTATAAAAAATATTTTTATATAAATATACATAAAAAAACTAATTCGACATTATTCAAAATATATAATTATTTAGATCATTGATGAGAATTACGCATATATCATTGTTTATAAAAACTTATCAAAATTTTTTATTTGTTTGGAAATTGAATAATTCTTTTTATTAAATATTTGCTTAAAAATAATTAAAACATTTTAATATGCGTAATTATTTTTAAAAATTTTAATTATTGTGTGCTCTGTTTTATTTGAATATTATAAATTACATGTTATATATTACAACTCCGTTGTAATATATAACATTTATGCAACAATATAAGTCATTAAATTAATTTTCATAAATATGTATTATGAAAAA